AGTGACTCTGATGTAGCTCTACAGACTCATAATAACAAGATTAATGACTATTTATTGATTATCTACCATGTTTGCAGGTTTTCACAACTCCAGTTGCCACAAAGGTCCAGTAAAGTAGATGTTATATTATCCCCATTTTACATATGAAAGAATGGAGGCTAGGAAAAGTTAAAGGGCTTGCTGAGGTTAAAGAACTTTTGGGCCAGGAGTTTCATTGAAGCCTTTTTGACTTAGTAAGGAGAAACTTTATTCAAAAGGATTCTTATACCAGGTCGGGGAGGGAAAGAGAGAGACTATTGCAATGGGAGGGACATATCGCGATAGGGAGATCACTCTGACCAAAAGATCTGCAGTTGTCTCAAGGGTTAGGCAAAAAGTTTCTTCAGGAGGGAAGTGAAGAAGACTAGAGGAAACTGGGTGTGGGAAAGTGGAAAGAAAGGGTGGTTTGATCTAAAAGTAGTACATCAGACTGTTTTACCTTGAGGCCAGCTAGTTCCCAGGAGGGTTTGTATTTGTATGCTGCTCCAGCCTGTGGGTGGGTCAAAATTAAGAAACCTGGGGAATGAGAGAAGCTTAACTGGAGTTGGTTAATAGGGATTTTTTTGTTTGATCAGTGGAGACAAGTAGTTCAGCTAATCACTTATAAGGCATATAAAGAACTGGAATTCAAGACTGTGTCTGATCTTGCCCCAGATAAACAAGGAGGCATCCATAAGTCTTATCTAAGTTAAGAGAATTGATGTCTCTTTGCAATAAACAATTTCAGAAACACAGAAGTGTGTGTGTGTGTGTGTGTGTGTGTGTGTGTGTTGGGGTGGGAGGGGAACTTCTTAACCGTTGCTATTTTTTAAGAGCACGGGGCTCAAGTAAAATTCAACATTGTCAGTTCTTTCCACTACATCAGGTTCCTCCCCTGCCACTGCCCTTCCGACTGCATGCTTGGGTCACACTAAACTAACTTGGTGTTGTAAGCCTATTCTACTCATTTATAGCTCCATCTGCAATACCCTTGCACTTCCTCTGCCTGTCTAACCCTTTCTCCATCTTCAAAATCCAGTTGAAATATGGGTGAAGCTTAAACAAAATGTTCATGGAAAAAGAGAACATATTATATGGTTCCACTAATGTAAAGTTTTAGAATCAGCAAAACTAATCTGTAGTGATAGAAGTCAGATCAGTGGTTGCCTGCGGCATAGAAGGGAGGCAAAGGAGCATGAGCAACTTTCTAGAAATGGCCTGTATATCTTGACTGAGATGGAGATGATGTGGGTGTACACACTTGTCAAAACTAATTTACTTTACATTTAAAATGGCTTCATTTGCCCTGGCCAGTTTGGCTCAGTGGTAGAGTGTTGCCCCAGGGACCAAAAAGTCATGAATTTGATCCTGGTCAAGGGCAGGTACTTCAGTTGTGGTTCCTCGGCCCTGGTTGGGGTCGTGCGGAAGGCAACCAATCTATGTGTCTCTCTCACATTGATGTTTCTCTCTCTCTCTCTCTTTCTCTCTCCCTCCATCCTACTCTGTCTGGAGATAAATGGAAAAATATCCTCTAGTGAGGATTTTTTTTAAAAGGGTGCATTTTACTGTATATACTTAATGTAATAATTTGATTTAAATAAAAATAGTAGGGATGTCACCTCCTACATGCCCGACACCCACCACCTCTAGGCTTCACTCTATTAAGCATATATGAGGATAGGTTAAAGTTAGTTCTTTTTTTTTTAATCCTCACCTGAGGATATTTCTCTATCTTCAGATAGAATGGGAGAAAAAGGGAGGGAACGGGAGAGACAGAGAAACATTGACGTGAGAGGGACACATTGATTGGTTGCCTCACGCATGACCCTGACCAGGGCCAGAAATGAACTGTAACTGAGGTACATGCCCTCGGACGGAATCAAACCCACAACTCATTGGTCTGCAGGCCAACGCTCTATCGCTGAGCCAAACTTGCCAGGGTGAAGTTAGTTCTTTTTTCAAAATTATGTTTTTTATTGATTTGAGAGAGAGAGAGAGAGAGAGAGAGAGAGAGAGAAACATCCTTATAAGATTGTTTCCTCTGCTGGACTTTGAGATCCTTGTAATTAATACCTTTTGGAATTTCTGCCCAACTCACATATTTCCCGCTCCTCTGGGAACTGCTGGTCCTCCAGCCATATTTGTGCCACATGTGCCACCTGCCCTCACCCCCACCCCACCTCCCTTCAGAGTTTATTGCAGCTGAGGTGGACATGGGATGGTTTTTTACCTTGAGCTTTGGACTTTTGAACTGATGCTCATAGACAGTAGGAATAGGAATAAATCACATAGGTCAATGGCAGTATTCTAGAGGGAACTTCTTCTTCTGTTGAGGTTCCTGTGGACTTGACTAAGCCCTTGCTGACATAAGACCATCCAAAACATTCCTGGATTCCACAAAACACTTCAGTAGCCACAAAGCTGATTTCTGTCACTTGCAACCTTAAAGTAGCTCCAGATGGTTGAAATCATGTCTGCCTTGTTCTCCGTTGTCTCCTAATGCCTGGCCCAAGGACTGGCCCAACGTATTTATTTTAATATTTAAGGCAGAAAGCCTGGTTTCAGCTGGATTTGGTGCAAGACAGCAGCCACTGATTCTTTGCTGAATGGACTGGGGTTGAGTTATATCATATGAATTTAGTCCTTTCATAAATTCAACAATTAATTCCATCATTTAGATAGGAGTAGGAATAGAGGGTTGATACTGTGGAAAGGAAGCACATTCCAGACTCAGATCTTACAGCTGGTCCTTAACCTCTCTGTGCTTCTGTTTGCTTATTTGTGAAAACACAAAACTCTCCCTCATGAGATTGCTACAAATGTTACGTTAGATAATGGTGGTAAAGCATGAAGTCTGGCACATAGTATATGCTCAGTATGCTTGAAAACTACATATAAGTCCCCTCTATGTACCAGCCACACTATAAGCATTGTAAACACTATGCAATAATGCATGGACCTTGTTCTTTGTGCTCTGGCAATTTATACTGATAATTTCTCATTCTTGTCAAACTCAAATTCAGGCTTCTTTGACCCAAAGTCAGAGCTCATACCACTTTTCACTAGTTGCTTTAACTGTTAATCAACAAAAATAATGAGCATTTAATCATTTCTCTGTGTAGGGTGGTCTTTAAAAAAATTTTTTAAATATTTTTTTATTGTTTTTTTTTTCTTTTAGAGAGTTAGGGAGAGAGAAATAGAAACATCAATGTGAGAGAGATACATCAATCAGCTGCCTCCTACACTCCCCTCCACTGAGGATCAAGCCCGAAACCCAGGGACATGCCCTCATTGGAAATACAACCAGGACCTCTCAAGTCCATGGGATGACGCTCAATCCACTGAGCCACACCAGCCAGGCTAGAGTGGTCTTTTTAGGTGTTCCATGGTTCTGAGGGATTTCAGGGAAGATGCTTTCAAGGGCTTTCTGAGAAGCAGTTGCTGACCTGGAAACAGACCAGCTGCAGCTTCTAAAACCAGAATAGAAGTCTCCTTAGCTCCCACAGTTTTGAGCAAGAAGAGCTTTGGGGGATGCAAAGCAGAGCGAAAGTGAAGCTAGTTTTGAAAAGTAGGTCCTTTTCCAAAGACATTTACAAATGTGATCAGAAACCAAAGAGAAACCTTATATCAGCTCTTATAACAGTGGACAGTACTTTAATCCCTGGCCGGGTTGGCTCAGCGGTTGGAGTGTCAGCCTGCGGACCAGAGAGTCCCGGGTTCAGTTCCCGCTAGGGGCACGTACCAAAAAAATACATTCATCTTCTCCATCCAAGAGACTTAGAACAGTAGAATTAAATAAGTCAAACTTGTAACAGTATAGTTTCAAATATCATATTTTAAGTAGGTAAAAATCTCTCATTTTAACATCATGCAAACATGAACACAAGACACAAAATACCAGCTTATACAGGCACTCCATTTGCTACACTTATTACAGTTTAGCATCAAGTTTTAAAATTTAAGTCACCATTAGACTGCAACATAAACACCAAGTAAAGCTCTGTGTTTCCACGCCTTTGCTAGTTTTTACTTGCGATGTGACAATTAAAAAAAGCATGAACACTTTTGGACAAATACAGCAGAACTCACAGATAAATAGCACACTGTCCCTTCAAAGTATCACTTTCAATGGCCACTGACATACTCTACACCAGCTGTTCCTGTTCACAACATATTCTTTTAAGAATTGCTACCACTCTCAGGAATAATTTTTGCTTTTTGGAGAAAACGTGTTATAATGAGCTGGAACCCCCTAGGGCTTTCCTTCTAGCTCTCTCCCATAACTAGCTATGTGATCTTGGGCACCTTATTTCACTTCGCTGCACCTCAATTTGTTTCTCATTATACCCCCTCCTGTTGTGGGGTGTGATGGGGCTCAAATGAGATAAATCTGGCATAGCACTCAAGAAATACGGCTTTCTTCCCCTATTACCTTTAAAATTTCTTTAAATGTGAAACCATTAAAATTTTTCTTTTCTCTTTCTTTTGAGGGCAGCTTTTATCATATTTTTAATAGCTAAAAGAAATCTGGGGTTGAAAACAATTGGTGTGCAAGTTGTATAATTTCCTATCAACTCTGAGACATGCGTGAGAAATACTAAGGCAGAATGTCCAAGGCAGTTCAGACATTGGTTCTGGAGAAAGCTGTAAAAGAGGCCCAGGAGAGATGTTCTGAGAAGGGGCCGTCACAGTGGAATAGCTGTCATGTCTTTCAAGGTGATCCCTGAAAGAGGACAGCATCTATCTGCGTGTATAAGGTCTCTGCACAGTCATATAGCTCCACTCCAGGGAAGCTCTAGAGTTCTAACTCTCCGGTAGAACTCTACCTGTGAATCCCTTCAACTGCCAATCATTTCAAGTCTGGAATCTTGAATTACAATGAGAGTCAGAGGCTCCCACATTTCCCGAGGAGCAGGAGTACGTATCCAGATTCGATTCTCTTGGAAATGTTCTGCTTCGTTCTCAGAGTATATTCTCTGCTGACCACCGCCACCTGCAGTTCTTCCAATAGTGCCTGAGAACTTTGCAAATGACCATGCCCCTAAGACTAGTCTTTTGACTCCAGAAAGCTCAGGTACCTGGCAACTCACAGGCCTTCACCCTCCATTTTCTTCAGGGACATCCTAAGTGTCACTTTGTTGGATTCTCCTGTAGCCTCCCTTAGGAGCGAATGTGCAGAATTTTCTTGAATGTCTTCTTGAAGTTCTCATTGCACAAAGGGTAGATGAGGGGGTTCAGTGTGGAGTTGATGTAGCCTAGCCAGATAGTGAACATGTGTACATGTTCGTTGCAACAGGTGCTACAGAAGGCAATGACCATGAAGAAGATGAAGTAAGGAATCCAGCAAAGGATGAAGGCCGCCATAATAAAACCCAATTGTTTGGCAGCCTTCCGTTCTCGGCTCATGTGCAACCCAGACACATACTGTCTTGAATGTGAGCGGACCCTCTTCCAAGTGAATTTGATATAACTGAGGCCTTTACTAGACTCACTTCTCGGTTTGCCTTTCTCCAATGCTGATTCAGTGGGGGTGTCTGAGTCTGTCGGAGAGAAGGACTGGTTATCACCTAGGGTCTGATCCTCTGACACCTCACAGGCCCCATGCATAATAAGGTCCTGCTCATCCATCTCAAGCTGGCTCTGGCTCTGGTTGATGGCTATGTAGTCCCTGCCACTCCCCTCTGCCTCAGTCTGCGTTTGGACAGTATTAAGTGGGAAGCAGTGAAGTTTGTCCACTTCTTCATCCTCTTCTTGACTGCAGACACCTGGGGATTTCATCTCCTTTGGGTTTTTGGATGGTGACTTCAAGACAGGTCTACCACCAGCAACTTTTGTTTTCCTTTTCAGAATCTCCCAGGGAGACTCCTTCTTTGGTTTCTTGGCCTCCATCTTGGGGTTCTCTGGCTTCAGTTTAATTTCAGAGAATGAAGGGAGGGATCCATTGATGAGCTCCCGATGCTGACAGTGCCTCCGTACAGCCTTGTAGATTTTGGCATAGAACCAGAGCATGAGAAAGGTAGGTAGGTAGAAGTTGATGATGGCAGTCATGATCTTGAACCAGGTGACATTGTAGAAGTCTGTCTCACATTTGTCCTTCTGGTGCCCTGAGCTCTCGGGCATGAAGTGATGCCAGCCGAGAATGGGAATAATCCAGAGGAAGGAGAGAAACCAGGCTCCCAAGATAGTGGCCAATGCTCGGGTCTTGGTACGATACTTCAGGTACTTGAGGGGCTGCTGGACAGAGCGGTAGCGATCAATACACAAGATGAAGACACTGAAAATGGATGCTGTGCTGGCTACATAGTCCATGGAAAGCCAAAAGAGGCAGAGAGGCCAGCCCAGAGACCAGGTGGACATGAAGAGATAGATGATGTTCATAGGCATGACAATAGCTCCCACAATCAGGTCTGCCACTGAGAGGCTAATGATGTACAGGTTCCCCACAGTGTGTAGCTTCCGCTCGCTCCACATAGCATACAGGACCAGCAGGTTGAGCCCCACTGTGACCAAGGAGATGGTGCTCAGGACTACTACCAGGGGCATGAGTTGGGGGATGGCCATGGTGGTCTTGTTCCCTTCACACATCTTATCTTCTAAGATGCTGGAGGAATTGGAAAGGTCACTGACTCAAGAGCAATCTCCAGCTATGGCTCACTCCCTGGGAGGAAAGACACAAGGATAAGGGTTAGAGTCATGGTGATCAATAGTCACTTAGTACCATCACATTGATCAAACTTGGATTATATGTGGTCAGGGATACTTCTGGTTACCTACAAACTATACCCCATTCTTCCTTAGTCATTCATTTCTTCCTTTATTTAATAACTATTTATTGAACTCCTGGCATTGTTCTGGGTGTTAGAAATACAGCAGTGAACAAAACAAATATCACTGCCCTCAAGGTGCTTGCATTCTAATGAGGGAGTTGGGCAAAACAAGGTCAAGTTTGTATAAGTCCCATGATGCACATTTTCTGGGCTGCATCATGATTGGTCTAAGCTGAATGTGCTGTTCTAATTCCTCATTGCTGGTGGCTGGTCTAGGGGTGGGCATGAGACACAACTGTGGCCAAGGAAGTAGATGGGAATGCCTCTTGGCAAAGGTGGAGTTCTGGAAAATGCTTCCTCTCTGAAAAATGAGCAAAACAAGAAAAAAGCATTGTTTCCCACTTGCTGCCTTCTTCCTAACAGGAAGTGATGCTTGGGGCTATGGAGGTCATCTTGGGGTTTTTAGGGAAATGCCAGGAAAACCACTGAGACGCCAACCCAGGGAGTCCTGTTAACACTTGAGTTGCAGAACAGAACTTGGAATCTTCTTCCTCCACACTGGTTATTATGGGAAATAATTAAATATCTTCTTTACCTACGTAACTATTGCGGGAGCTTTTACTGGCAACTAAAAGCACCCCTAACTGATATGAGGGAGGTTACAAGGGTACACAAAGTGTGAAATAAGTTGAGCCCATCTCCTTAGATGAATGGTTCTCAAATGGGGAGAGGGTTGTTATTTGAGAAAGCATATTTATTATTATTTTACTTAAAAATTTTTTTATTGATTTTTTTAGAGAGAGAGATAGAAACATGGATGTGAGAGAGAAACATCATCAGCAGCCTCCTGCATGCCCCCTACTGGGGATTAAGCCTGCAACCCAAGCATGTGCCCTGACCTGTAATCTAACCGGAACCTCTCAGTGCATGGGACAATCTCAATCCACTGAGCCACAGGGGCTGGCTATTTTACTGTTATATGTGAAACAAATGGTATCACATAAAACTATGCATTGCTAGTGAGTCTATACTGAAAACAAATAGTATCCTGCTATTGGTAATCCTCAGTTGGGGAGGGAAGTAATGTAGGTATTAAAACTGCCAGACTTTTATATTCATCAAAAAGATATGAGTTTAAAGAAAACTGAGAAATACTAACAGAGATCATAAATCTCTCTCAATCATTTAGGAAAAAACTAGTTTTACATTATGGCAAAGGCAGATAAGTTCCTGAGTACAAGGCCAAATTCATATTTTTTGAAGGTAAAGACCATGATCCCAAGGCATTTGGTCCTTGTGGAAGAAACCTGTTGAGTTACTTTGTTGGAAAAGCACCCCTTGGGTGGCACTGATTTTGCCTCAGCTCTGCCACTAATTATCTGAATTATCTAAATTATCCCATGTTCTTCTCAAGCTCTGAATAGCCAGTCGGAGCAACCCTCCAGCTTCTCTGAGGGTGCCTCCTCTGGCTTCTTCAACGGCATCACCTTCCCCTCCAGTGACCCAGTCCTGCCCTCTGCTCCTGTTACTCTACGAGGCCTTTTCCATTCACCCCATCCATCTCAGCCATCACCTCCATGTGGACAACCCCCAAATCTATAGCTTCAGCCTGTATCTTTCTCTACTCCTACATCCCACACCCAATCAATGTATTGGAGCTTCATCTTCAGCCCTGACCAAACTGAAACCCCTGGGAATTGTCCACAGTCACTTCAGGAAGGAGGAAAGAAGGTTAAGGCAGTATCATCTCAAAGATTTTACTTTTTATTGTTTTGACTGGAAGGAAGCAGGAAGCGGTTCCCTAAAACACTGCCATAACTTTACATTCCATGGCAGCCCTGACCTTCCCCTCCTACAGAAGTGACACATTTCTCTTTTCCTCACTGCCTAGAGGAAATTTCTCTTTCGACTCATTGCATGCAGAGGGGGATCAATATTTTCTTCATTGTGCATAAACTATCATTCCGTAATTATATTTGACAGAAAATTGTTTCTCCATAAAAATCTATATATTTTTCCTTTTTGATCAAAAAAGAAAAGGTGGCTCTGGCCAGTTTGGCTCAGCGGTTAGAGCGTCAGCCTGCGGTCCAGAGAGACCCGGGTTCGGTTCCCGCTAAGGGCGTGTACCTCGGTTGCAGTTTGTCCCCGGCCCTGGTTGGGTTGTGTGGGGGGCAGCCACTCGATGTGTCCCTTTATTTTATTTTATTTTTTTTATCCTCACCCGAGGACATGTGCCCTGACCAGGAACTGGTGACCTCCCGGGGCATGGGTCAACACTCAACCACTAAACCACAACGGCTGGGTGATAATAGTCTTCTAATATCAGTTCTCCTCTTCTTAGGAATAGACTTCTGCTTTTAGCTGAGTACATAGTTGCCTGCAACAGAGACTACATTTTCTAGGCTCCTTTGTAGCTGGGGATTACCTTCTGACTAACTTCCAAAGAAATGGAAATTAAAATGTGGTTTGCAACTTTCTAAAAGCAGCCTTAAAGGGAGGATGTGTTCTTTTCGTTGGCCCTTCTTTCTTCCAGCTAGCTGTAATGTTGACAAGATGAACACAGCTTAAGCAGCCAACTTGGGACCATGAGGAAGAGCCACAAATGAGAAAGGTAAAGTTGTAATTTGGAAAAAGTTGAGGTCTCTGATGATAACGGGGCTGCCCTACCAGCCAGGACTTTTCACTTCTGGGTTAGCTTGGGTTTTCTATCCCACACAGCCAACAGAATCCTAACTGATACACTGCCCCTGACTTCAATAACTTTGTCAATTAGCTTGAAAAGAATGACAAAAGATAAATCATATCAGAATTATATTAAAAGTTCTAGAATTCAACTGGGAGAAGTGTGATGACTGAGATAAGATCAAAGCAGGTGGCAGGACAGAGGAGGAAGAAATAGCCTCTCCCAAAGTTGAGTATTATGTCAAGAAGGACATCAGAGAAGGGGTGATGTGTGAGCTGGTCTTTGAAGGATGAGTAGAAGTTCACCAGGAAAAAGGAAGAGGACTTTAAGGCTGAGTAAAAGAGAGAATAAAAGTAGAGTTGAGTTCAATGAATTAGGAGGGAATTGTTGTAAGTGACTGGAGTGTAGGATGATGAGTCTGGAAAGACATGTTGGGGCCAAAGGGGAAGGAAGCTCTTCTATACCTCTCTGTCTTTGCCTGTGCTGTTTCCCCTACCTGGAGCATCCTTATGCCTTGAAGCTTTTTGTTCCTCTCTTTCTGTGTATCCACCACTTCTAACACTACTCTTTATATCACCTACGTTATCCTTCTTTCTTTAGCTGATTCTCTCGAACTAAAAAGGGAGCAACTCTAGGGCATGGACTGTGTCCATTACTTCTGTTTCTGAAGTGTGACACCCATGACCATCAAGGGGATGTCCCCTCCTTGATGGCAGGGACCACAACTTTTCACTTACTGTCATTATCCTGTGCCGGCACCAGGCTGGCACATGATAGCAACTCAAGAGGTTTCCTGGACGAATTATGAGGAAATGAGACACAAAAGGATAAAGAAGACACAGGGAGAAGGACCTAAGTGCAGAAAGTGTGGGCATATTTTTCACGAGGATGTTTACACCAACCACAACAACAAAAAAATCTGAGATAAGACGTATCCTATTGGTGAATATTGATACCTTTCAGCTATCTTTCCTATTTTTTCCTGGAAACTTGATTGTTAGAAATTTCTTTCATGGTAATCCAAAACACGAACAAGGATTTATGCATAAAGATGCTCACTGAAACATTATTTATGATAGGAAATAATCTAACATTGGGAAACTAAATATATTATGGAATAGCTACAGGATAGAATATCATGCAATGGTTGTTAATCACATTTGTGGAGCCCCAGTAATGATATGGGAAAATGCTTATGATGATATTAAATTTACAACAGACATTGTACAGACACATTTACCTAACAGGGTTAGAGCAAGGGTAAATCCCTGTTTTATTGTGTTAACACTGGTTTCCTCTGGGTAGTGGATGAGGTTTATTATCTTTAGTATTTCCCAAGATTTCAACAATGAGAACGTCTTGGTCTTATAATAGGGAAAATAAGAACTAACTGCATTCATTAAAAACAAAGATTTATTCCATTGGATAAATCTTTAAAAAAGAAATGCCTTCCACATTCTTAGCACATCTTTTGTTTTCTTTAGTAAAAAGTGAGAGTTTGGGATTCCTTTCCTGATAAATTCTAAACTGCCTAATCCACCACTTCCCATTCAAAATGCTCTACCCTCTGCCACATTTGCATTGGTTGGTCATTCTGGTCAAGTAAGTCAGAACATTAATTTCTTTGCTCTAATTCTGAGAAAAAGGCATCATGCATAAGCATGCCCCAAATACTGCATATTCTCATCGAGTCTGGTCAGAGCATAATTTCCACAAAACACTCAGGATTGTCAATGTCACTGGCTGTGGTGCAGAGAGCAGACTGCAAATGTCAAAATCCCATTATGAGCCCAGTGCTGCAGGATTTTGACTTAGAATCTAGGACAGTGCTGGGTTAAGAGTTATCCTCTGGACAAGATGCAGGAGGTCTATGACCTTGTGGATAGGCAGTGTGGCCCCAAAGGGCTTTTCTGGGGGTGGAGGCACACATTCAAAGGTTGATAGCATCGGGAAGGAAAAGTTACTACAGGGAACTGTGTGGAGCAAGCAGGAGTGGTGGAGACTGGGGCAACCTGGAGAGTACAACCTCTGTCTGAAGAGTACAGCTGCGACTCAGATACCACCAACTGCTATGAGCCCGGATCTGCCTTTTTTTTTTTAATCCTCACCCGAGGACATTTTTTCATTTTTCTGTTCAGATAGAGCGGGAGGGAGAGAGAGGAACAGAGAGAGAGAGAGAAACAGCAACGTGAAAGGTACACATCGAGT